TCTCGCGAGAGAGCACTTCCGCACCTGCGCAGAGCCGGAGACGCGGAGGGCGCCGAGATTCGAAGCGGCGGCGGGCTGCAGCGACCCCGAGGCTTGGCGCCCGCTCCCGCCTGAGATTCTCCCGGGGCGCGCCATGGACCCGATCCGGGGCTTCTACGAGAGACTGCGGGCCCTAGCCAGCACGCTGGACTGCGAGACGGCGCGGCTGCACCGGGCGCTGGACGGGGAGGAGAGCGGTGCGTGGGGCCGAGGCGTCGCGGGAGGGCGGGCCCGGCTCGGGGAAACGGCACTCGCTCACCCGGGCGGGGGTCCCGGGCCAGCGAGCGTGGCAGGGTCTGTGGTGTGCAGAGCGCAGTCGCACGCTCGCGGCCCCCGCAGTCTCGACCTACGGGGTGCAGGCGGTCCTCCCGCCTCAGATCCCGAGGCGCTGGGGTGGCAGGCTGGACCACCGAGCCCGGCCAAAGCCCTCAACTGATGCTTCCAAAGAAATGATGGTCACTGAGCGTATGAGGAGGCAGCATCTTCGTCATTTATCAAGGGAATGCAAATAAACCCAACACAGTACGGTGTCATCCACCCGGAGAACTAAAACACAAAAGGGGAAGCTGTCGAGTGTTTGCAGAGATGCGGGGCGGATGCGGTTCTCTTGCACGCTGGGGGGAGTGTCAGTTGTGACCATCGTGTTGAAAGGCCAGCAGTGTCTACCGACGCTGAGCTTGCAGGTGACACTTCTGGTGGGTCTCACATACAGGAAGGTGAGGAGTAGGGCACCGAAGACAGTTCTAGAAAACTTCAAATTCACATCAAGAGTGCTCATAATAGTTTCATTTTTTTTAGTAGGAGTCTCACTGTCGCCCAGGCTGGAGTGCAGCGACACACTCACAGCCACCACAGCCTCAACCTCCTGGGCTCAGGCGATCCTTCTGCCTCAACCTTCCAGGTAGCTGGAACCGCAGGCACCTGCCACCATGCCTGGCTAATTTTTGATTTGTCGTAGAGACAAGATCTCACCAAGTTGTCCAGGCTGGTCTCAAATTCCTGAGCTCAAGCAGTCCTCTCTGCTCTACCTTCCAAGTGTTGGGATGACAGGCGTGAGCCAACGCACCCAGCAAAGAGTGTTCATAATCGTTTTAAAGCACACACAACCCAAAGTGTGTCAGCAAGAGAATGGGTGAAGTTGGTGTTAGTGGTGTACTTTACAGCCATGAGCATGGGCAGATGAGATGTAAGGCCATGGACTAGCGTCGTGAGTGTGGGATGAAGGAAGCCATCACGACAGGGTGTGCACTGTATGCAGCCAGCCACTCAATGAAGTGCACACGCTGGCAAAACCGCTCCATGGGGTTGGGGATCAGGGCGGCATTCACCCTGGAGGGAAGGGAGGGTCTCAGAGGGCACTGGAGCACTTGTTTCTTAGTCATGAGGTCCCCGTGAGGATTTGCTGCTAAGTGAATCGCAGAGTGGTGCAACTTGGGCTTGTAGCGGCCCTCTCTCCCCTGGGAGTGGACTTGGTGCCCAGGGTGTTGCCATGGGCCCCTGTCCCTCCTCCCTGTCCCCAGCAGAGCATCAGGCATCTGCCGTTCCCCCATGCTCATGGGATCGAGAGCAGGGCTGACTAATGAGTGAGACTGCCTAGCATGATAGTCTCCAGCTGCCTCCATGTCACTGCAAAGGCCTTGGTTCTCATGCTGCTTGTTCCTCCATCTTCCCTCCTTCCTGTTTCTGGATCTGCGGGCTGCTTATGATGGTTTGTTTATCCTTTAAAGGCAAGAAGCTGTCCTCTTAGGATTCTGTACTCTTCTGCATATGTTACGGTCACGTGTCACTTAACTGCAGGATTGTTCTGAGCAATGTTGCTATTTCATCCTTGTGTGAAAGTCGTGGAGTGTGTATAACACACACACACACCCCCACTGCACCCACCCCTGCACGGCCCATTCCACACTGGACTGTGTGGTGCCAGTCCACACAGGCTGGTAACCTTGAAGCATGTTACTGTATAGAAAGCCATAGGCAACTGTAACACAATGTAACCATCTGGTATGTAAATATAGAAAAGGTACAGTAAAAACACTTTTATAGGTTTCTGGGGACCACATCAGACATGGGGGCCAAAGCGTCATGTGGTGCATGATTGTATACTAACTTTTCTTCCTTCTTTTCTCTGTTTCTCCTTCTTCTCCTCGCATTCATTGGACTTTTTTCCTTTTAATATTCCTGTTGTAGACTTTGAAGATTTCCCACTGAGAGTTTTACATGACCTTCATTCAGAAGTTTGGACTCTAAAGGTATCACTCCTAGATATTTATAATTTTCCTGTGGTAATTTTTTAATCTAAATAGATCTAGTCAGTTGCTAGAAAAATGATAGTGTACTTTCTTTCTCATGAAAGGGTGATGTTAATGTTCTTCTTGGGAAAGCAAGATTGGAAAGTCAAGAAAGCACTGGTTTCATAAAGGCAACAAAAGTGTTGATGAAAAAAAATTCAACTGATATCATGAAAATAACAGAGTATTTCCAGAAATATGGATATAATCCTCGTGTCAAGGACAATTCAGGTTTGCGCAACTTTGATGTGATAACATCTCTTAGTGTTGAAGAAAGTGGGCAGTGTGATTGGCGAAGCCAGCTGTGGGGTCAACTGTGATTTTCCGTTCTAGCTCTGCCCTTGTCTGTGCATCACTTGATGATCGTGTATTCAGCCCTCTATGTGCGCTGGACGCAGCGTCCTTGCTTTCCTTCCCAAAGGCTCCAGAGAACCAGCACATGATAGCTGAAAGTTCTCTGAGCTATTTCTATGAGAAAGGCCAGACATGGTGGTGGCATTTTTCTTATTCTCAGTTTCCTCTTCTGTAGAATAAGAGATTGTGGCTATATAAAGTTGATCCTTTTTTTTGGTTCCAAAATTTTAAAGACAGGTACTATTGCATAGTGGCTTAGAATGCCTGTGTTGAAATCTTTGTTCTACCACTTACCAGCTGTATTGTCTTGGGCAAGTTACTGAGCCTCATGCCTCGGTTTTTCACCTGTATATAGAGTGTTGCTCTGTCTACCTCATGAGGCTACTTGAGAATAAATGAGATGCAGTTTTCCCAGAATGGTGTCTGGCATGGCAGTCACCCAGTGCTCTCTATTGTCACTGTTATGCTCATATTTCTGAATGACTAACTCCTTGTGCCTCAATGTCTTCATTTCTCTTAGAAGAATGACCTTTGCACATAAGTAAAGCATTAATTGAGCAAGTGTTTATTGCAGATATGTGTGGAAGATATGTTAAACAGTCCCCATGGTCTAATGGAAAGAATTCCGCTGACTTGGTGTGAGAGAGCCATGGATTCAAACACTGGCTCCATCAATTCAAACACTGCCTCCAAAATATCCACTGAACTTGGATATTTTCTCTAAACTCCTACTTGTGGGGTTGGGATAATAATATCTCCCTATGAATTGTACCCCACATCTTTAAAAAATAAAAATAAAAATATCTCCCTATGGAGTATTGATAATGGTGGTTATTTTATTTTATTAATCTCATCAGTGACCACTCTGTGATAGATACACCAGTAGGTTTTTGGCAACTGTTGTAGCATTCTTCAAAATTAACAGAAAGCACAGTGCCAAAGCAGAGCTCAGGGAATCAGAGGCTCTTCTGAGGGCCAAAATCCATAAAATTGAAGTGTAAACCCTAGTGGTGGTGGAGAAGCTATGTGTCTTTGAAATGTTCTATTATTTTTCTCATCTAGGTTTTTGATATGGGTGTTCCAGAATGACTTAGGGTAAAAATTTATCTTTGTGTAGCAATAGTCTTTCTGTTTTAGCTTAGGTATCTGGAAATTAAAAATCTAAAATAATATTATTATGTTAAATCTAGAGCACAGTTGATTCCACACTGTTATGAATGTCATAAAATGAAATTTTAAAAAATAGTTTCAGAAAATATTGAGGAAAACTAGTAAATCACAGTGAGGAGATAAGGAAATTGGACTCGTATTTGTGTTAATTTTTCATCTTTAACACTTTAACTTGCTTTTCTTCTCTAGTGTGTCATCAAAATGGGATGTGGGAGGGCAAGAGATACATGTCAGAAATTTCCTGAAGGGATAATTGAAATGAAATGTTTAGAGAATCAGGACTTTTGCTGATTTGAGACATTTCAGACAAGCCATTTTCCATTGTTCTTGTAAATATGAGGCTTTCTGTCTTGAGGTGTGACCAGAATGTCACCTCTGTTTTTTCCTCCTAGTGCCTAAGCAGGAAGCTACTAACTCTGCTCCAGAGCTGTCTAAGTGTGAAGATGTCCCAGAGTCTGATGCGAAGGATGGCCTGTCTGGTCCTCCCCTTCCAAGCAGTTCTGTTTCTGAGAAGGCTCCACGGAGTCCACAACTTTCAGATTTTGGACTCGAGCGGTACATGATACCCCAAGTTTTACCAAACCCTCCACAGGCAGTAAACAGCCATAAAGAAGAGCCCAAAACTGCAATGCAACCTGCCAAACAGTCACCACTTAGAGTACTGAAAACTCCAAGGTGTGAGCTGAAGATGGAGGATTTTGAGTGTGTGACTCCCAAGTTAGAACACTTTGGTATTTCTGAATATACCATGTGTTTAAATGAAGATTACACAATGGGACTTAAGACTATGAAGAATAATAAAAGGTAAGCAGATTTCTGAAAAAGCCACCTTATATCTAGTTTTTAAAATCCCTTGCATTTGTTGATTTTTTTTTCTAGAAGAACGATAATGTTTAAGACAGTATTTTTCTTTTAAAATGTTTTCAGGCTGGGCTCGAGGGCTCAGCCTATAATCCCAGCACTTTGGGAGGCCAAGGCAAGTGGATTGCGTGAGCCCGCAGGTTCGAGACCTGCCCAGGCAACTTGGCGAGACCTCGTCTTGACAATTAAATAAAAATTGGCCAGACGTGGTAGCGTGCACCTGTAGTTCCGGCTACTTGGAAGACTGAGGCAGAAGGATCGCCAGAGCCCAACAGGTCAAGGCTGTAGTCGCTGGGAGCATGCCACTGCACTCTGGTCTAGGTGACAGAGTGAGAATCCAACTCATAAAAAAAAAAGTTTTCAGCCAGGTGCAGTGGCTCACGTCTGTAATCCCAGCACGTTTGGAAGCCTGAGGCAGGAGGATTGCTTGAGCCCAGGAGTTTGAGACCAGCCTAGGCAACATAATGAGACCTCGCCTCTACAATAAATCAAAAAATTAGCTGAATGTGGTAGCATGCACCTCTAGTGCCAGCTACTTGGGAGGCTAAGGTGGGAGGATGACTTGAGCCCAGGAGGCTGAGGCTGTGGTGAGCTGTGACCATGCCAGAGCACTCCAGCCTGGCCAACAGAGTGAGACTGCAACAACTCAAAAAGAAAAAAAGGTTTTCAGCTACTTTATAAGGTATGAGCTGTTGGCATTTTCAGGTGAGAGGCTGTGGTGGGAGGAACAAGGGCCTGGAAAAGGGTTCGAGAAGAGGGGATAAAATGAAAGGGGTAGATTCATAGGAATCTGTGATTGACTCTGTTTGGAGACTTGGGAAGAAAGACTTATCTAGGATGAAGCCCAGGTTTCTGTTTTGCTGTTGGGGTGATGCTTGAGAAACAAGAACGCCTGTAGCTAAGGGAATGTGTTATTTTTACTCATTGTCTTTGAGGTGACTGTAGACACTCTGGTAGCCTCTCAAGCTTAGGTATTTTAATTTGAGTTTAAAGTTCAGTAAGGCCAAGTCCAGCCTACTGCCTTTTTTTTTTTTTTTTTTTTTTTTTTTGAGTTGGAGTCTCACTCTGTCGCCCCTGCTAAAGAGCAGTAGCACACTCACGGCACGGCCACCACAGCCTCAACTTGCTGGGCTCAGCCTTCCAAATAGCTAGAACTACAGCCAGGCACCACCACTACTAGCTAATTTTTCTTGATTTATTATAGAGATGAGGTCACGCTAAGTTGCCCCGACTGGTCTTGAACCCCTGGGCTCAGGCAGTTCTCTTGCCTTGCCCTCCCAAAGTGCTAGGAATATAGGCGTGAACCACCGCGCCCAGCCATATTTTTTATAACATTTTACTAGAACACAGGCTTTTTAACAGTTTCTTATTGACCAAGCTCGGTAGCTCAGTCTGTAATCCCAGCACTTTGGGAGGCCGAGGCAAGTGTTTTGCCTGAGTCCATGGGTTCAAGACCAGCCCAGGTGATTTGGCGAGACCTCGTCTCTACACTAAACAAAAAATTGGCCGCGTGTGGTAGCATGCGCCTGTAGTTCTGGCTACTTGGAAGGCTGAGGCGGGAGGATCACCAGAGTCCAGCAGGACTGCCTGAGCCTGCGGGTTCAAGACTAGCCCGGGTGACTTGGCGAGACTTCGTCTCTACAATAAATCAAAAAAAATTAGCCAGGCATGATAGTGCACACCTATAGTTCTGTCTACTTGCAAGGTTGAGGCAGAAGGATCACCAGAGCCCAGCAGGTCGACACTGGGGTGGCCATGAGTGTGCCATTGCACTCCAGCCTGGGTGACAGAGTGAGACTCCAACTCAAAAAAAAAAAGATCATGTGAAAAACTAGTAGTAGTAATACAATTCAAGGAAGAGGCTGATAGAAAATATATTTTATATAATTATGTAGGATAACTATGCATTTACATATTTATTTAATTTTTTTAGAGACAAGATCTCACTATGTTGCCTTGGCTAAAGTGCAGTGGTATGATCATTGCTCCCTATAGTATTTTTCTTTTAAAATGTTTTCAGGCCGGGCTCGGTGGCTCAACCTATAATCCCAGCAATTTGGGAGGCCGAGGCGAGCGGATTGCGTGAGCAATCCTGGGCTTGAGCAATCCTCCCATCTTAGCTTTTTGAGTAGCTGGAAATTCAGGAACGTACCACCACACCTGGCTAATTTTTATCATTATTCCTTATAGCAACAGAGTCTCACTATGTTGCTCAGGCTGTTCTCAAATTCGTGAGCTCAGGTGATCCTCTCATCTTGGCCCACCAGAGTGGTGGAATTTCAGGCATGAGCCACTGTGCCCAGCCTATTTTTGAACTAATGAGTTGAAATTAATGACTTTCCTTTAAGTCATTGTTCTTAACCCACTTCTCTAATCAAGACTATCAAGAGAAAATGGTCCTTAACTTCTTTTGAACCATGGCTGTGTGTCTGTATATATATATATATATTTTTTTTTTTTTTTTTGAGTTGGAGTCTCACTCTGTCACCCAGACTGGAGTGCAGTGTCTGCTCCCGGCCACCACAGCCTCGACCTACTGGGCTCCGGTGATCCTTCCACTTCAGCCTTCCAAGTAGCTGGAACTACAGGCGCACGCTATCACGCCTGGCTAACTTTGATTTATTGTAGAGATGAGGTCTCACCAAGTTGCCCAGGCAGGTCTTGAACCCACGGGCTCATTCAATCCACTCACCTCAGCATCCCAAAGTGTGGGATTGCAGGCTGAGCCACCGAAACCAGCTTATATTTTTTTTTTAAATAAAGGATTTGTTTTGTAGGACTCTTCCAAGAAATAGAACTGAACATTCGTCCAGACTTGATATAAGTAAGTTAAATTTTGCTCCAGAGGCTTAATATTAACTGTTTTTTAACCTTATAATTTTCCTGTTGATCACAGCAGAGAAGAGACTGGAGAAACAGAATCAAAGACTAGTGATAATTTTCTTGCCACTCCAGGCCCCACCATCCAGCAGCTGGAAAAAAGCAGTAAGTATAAACATGATGCTACTTCTCAGCTATATTCTTTCCCGCTATCTCTGTACACAAGTGATTTTGTCATCTTAGACACCTTAATAGTTTTCTGCTTTGTGTGTGTGTGTGTGTGTGTGTGTGTAGGACTCTCACTCTGTTGCCCAGGCTGAAGTGTAGTCACAGTTCAGGGCCACCACAGCCTCAACCTGCTGATCCTTCCACCTCAGCCTCCTAAGTAGAACCACAGGCACATGCTTCCATGCCTGGCTAATTTTTTGATTTGTTATCATAGAGACAAGGTCTCACCAAGTTGCCCAGGCTGGTCTCGAACCCATGGGCTCAGGCAGTCCTCTTGCCTTCTCCCAAAGTGCTGGAATGACAGGCATGAGCCACCATGCCTGGCTTAATTCTCTCTTGGTGGCTTGTTTCCTCATGCCTTTAATTTTTAGCTGTGGATGCCTCCTCAAGAGACATTGTTTTCAGGGGACTTCTGTGTGCCTTGAATTGGCAGGTAGTCCCTGTGAAGCTGCTTTACGCTGACCCCAGCCAAGGCCCTTGGGTTGCCAATTGCAGGCTACTTAAAAAGGCAGTTTGGCTCAGGAGACCTGTGCAGACATGTATCCCAGAACCCACACCGAGTGCCGTATGGACTTGGTACTCTGGCTTTCAAGTATGATTCCAAAGCCTTCCGCCTTGAGCCAGGCTGCTCCCAGGGGCCAGCGTCCTGGGCAGACACTTTGTCCCTGGTCCACAGTCCTCATAGCTCTTCTAGGCTCTTGATGTCATGTCTCAGGTTCTCCCTCCATCCCCCAGATCTCCAGCGCCTGCTTGTCTTAAAATCCCAGGGGCTTAGCTATGTAGAAATAGCAGGTTACACAGATGTTCATATCTTACAGTATTGGCTTCAGATCCTTTTTCTAAAAATAAAAGATCGGCCGGGCTTGGTGGCTCAGCCTGTAATCCCGTGCCTTGGGAGGCTGAGGTGAGTGAATTGCCTGAGACTGCGGGTTCGAGACCTGCCTGGGCAACTTGGCAAGACCTCATGTCTACAATTAAAAAAAAAATTACCCAGGTGTGGTAGCGCGCGCCTGTAGTTCCAGCTACTCGGAAGGCTGAGGCTGAAGGATTGCCGGAGCCCAGCAGGTCGAGGCTGTGGTGGCTGGGAGCGGCCACTGCACTCCAGTCTGGGCGACAGAGGGAGACTCCAACTCAAAAATAAATAAATAAAAGATCAAATCCCACACATTACTGTCCTTCCCTTCCTCTCCAAAAGTAATGATTTTTCTAAAGTATAGTTATTTTTGAAAACTTGGCCAGGCTCGGTGACTCAGCCTATAATCCCAGCACTTTGGGGGGGCCGAGGCGAGTGAATTGCCTGAGCCCACGGGTTTGAGACCCGCCTGGGCAACTTGGTGTGACCTTGTCTCTACAGTAAATCAAAAATTAGCCGGGTGTGATAGTGCACACCTGTAGTTCCAGCTACTTGGAAGCCTGAAGCAGAAGGATCTTGGAGCCCAGCATGGCGAGTCTGCGGTGCCTGGGAGCGTGCCACTACACTCCAGTCTGAGCGACAGAGTGAGATTCCAATTTACAGGAGCCGAGCGCAGTGGCTCATGCTTGTCATGCCAGCACTTTGGGAGGCCAAGACAAGAGGATTGCCTGAGCCCAGTGTTTAAGACCAGCCTGGGCAACTTGGCGAGAACTTGTCTCTACAATAAATCAAAAAATTAGCCGGGTGTGGTAGCTAATTCTAGGTACTTGGAAGGCTAAGGAGGAAGGATTGCCTGAGCCCAGCAGATTGAGGCTGCAGTGGCTGTGAGAGTGCCACTGCACTCAAGCCTGGGCAACAGAGTGAGACTCACTTAAAAAAAAAAAAAGAAAAGAAAACTTTAAGGAGTGACAGTATCCAAATCGTATTCTTTTGCTACTGTTTTTTTCGCTCAGCAGTATGGAGGATTTTTTTTTTGTTTTTTTTTTTGAGTTGGAGTCTCACTCTGTCACACAGACTGGAGTACAGTGGCCGCTTCCGGCCACCGCAGCCTTGACATACTGGGCTCCGGCGATCCTTCCACCTCAGCCTTCTGAATAGCCGGAATTATAGGCGCACACTACCACACCTGGCTAATTTTTTGATTTATTGTAGAAATGAGGTCTCGCCTGCCCAGGCGGGTCTCGAACCTGCGGGCTCAGGCAATTCATTCACTTCAACTTCCCAAAGGCACGGGATTACAGGCTGAGCCACCAAGCCCTGCTTGTTTTTGTTCTTTTTGTTTTTTGTTGTGTTTTGTTTTGTTTTTGAGTTGGAGTCTCACTCTGTCGCCCAGACTGGAGTGCAGTGGCCGCTCCCGGCCACCGCAGCCTCGCGTGCTGGACTCCGGTGATCCTTCCGCCTCAGCCTTCCAAGTAGCCGGAATTACAGGCATGCGCTACCACGCCCGGCTGATTTTTTGATTTATTGTAGAGATGAGGTCTCGCTGCCCAGGCGGGTCTCGAACCCGCGGGCTCAGGCAATCCACTCACCTCAGCCTCCCAAAGGCACGGGATTACAGGCTGAGCCACCGAGCCCGGCTTGTTTCTGTTCTTTTTGAATCAGAGTCTTACTCTGCCTTCCAGGCTAGAATGCAGTGGCACACTCACGGCTACCAGAGCCTCAACCTCCTGGGCTCAGGTGATCCTTCTACTTCAGCCTCCTGAGTAGCTAGGACTACAGGCATATACCACCATGCCCAACTAATTTCTGTATTTGTTGTAGAGACAAGGTCTCACTATGTTGCTGACTGGTCTCAAACTCCTGGGCTCAAGCGATCCTCCCGCCTTGGCCTCCCAAAGTGCTGGGACTTTAGGCATGAGCACCATGCCCAGCCCCACTCTAAATCCACTTTATTCTTTTAAATTAAGTAGTATTCTATTGTATAAATCAGCCATATTTGATCCATTTGCTTATTAAGAGGTTGTTGAATTGTGTTTACGTTTTGTTAATCAAGCAATGCTCTAATTTTTTTTGTTTGTTTTCCTGGGTCGGAGTTTCCCTGTCACCCAGGCTGGAGTGCAGTGGCACACTCATGGCCACCACAGCGTCAACCTCCTGGGCTCAGGTGATCCTTCCATCTCAGCCATCCAAGTACAAGAACTACAGGAATGTGCCACCATGCCTGGCTTTTTATTATTATTATTGTTGTTGTTGTTGTTATTATTATTGTTATTATTATTATTGTAGAGATGAGGTCTTGCCAAGTTGCCCAGGCTGGTCTAGAACCTCTGGGCTCAGACAGTCCTCTTGCGTCAGCCTCCCAAAGTGCTGGGATGACAGGCATGAGCCACTGTGCCCAGCTAATAACTTCTTCCCTTGTGCACATGTCTGTTTCTCACAGGACACATACATCCTTCTGGAAAATGCTGAATTGCTGGCTACTCTGATTTATGTTCCAACCAGCAGTTTTTGATTTCCTGTTTCTCCATCTTTTCAGCATTCGTGATTTTTACACTGAAACTATTTTGGCAATCAAATTGATTTTGTAACATGTTTACCTTTTCACTCTGGTGGTGGTTGAAGATTGCTTTGATGATACTGTGTGTTCTGGATAGCAAATGCCTATATATGCACGAGTCTGACTTGTTCCAGTGTTCCATTTTTCCATTCCTGGTTAGTGCTATGCTGTTTTTAATTACTGTACCTTTAGAGTGTCTCCTGATATCTTAGAAGGTAAATGGCCTCTTCCTCCTCCTCCTCCTTCAGAAGTTTGATAATTTTCTCTATAAAGGTCTTATACAGTTTTTTTATGTTTACTTTTTAATTTAAATTTATTTATTTTTGAATCAGGGTCTCACTCTCTTGCCCAGGCTGGAGTGCAGTGCCACGATCACAGCTCACTGCATCCTTGACCTCTTGGGTTCAGGAGCTCCTCCCACCTCAACCTCTGGAATAGCTGGGACTACAGGCCCATGTCACTACACCCAGCTAATTACAATTTTTATAGATTTATTTGTAGGTGATCTTGTCTTCTTTGTTGCTATTGCAAAAAATATCTTTTCACAAATAATAATCTTAATAGTTTGTTGCACATATGTCCATAATATAGCAGAACTATTCACTGTTATGCACTGTTCTTATAACCTTGCTGAACTTTTATTAATGTTACATATGTGAACATGAGTTTTGTTCTTTACTGTCCATTTAGTCACTCTATAGTTATAATGTTTAAGGTATTAAATATTATGTGCACAGATGATATTGGCAAAGCTTATAACGTACAAATGACTTATGTCAGCTTTTCCAGCTCTTCTTGTCACACCCTTTGTATGTGTGTTGTGTCTTCTAGATGCTGAGGATACAGATTCCCCCTTGGCACCTACATTCTGCACTCCTGGTTTGAAAATTCCTTCTACAAAGAGCAGCATGGCTTCGGTAACTTTCCATGAAATTGAAAACTCTAATCTTTCTCCTGACGACTCAGATGCACTGCTGCTTCCAAACTCAGTCCGTTCAAAAAGCTTAAGCTGGTGTCTCTTTTAGGAGTGAATTCACAGTACATTTCCTTTTTTTTTTTTGAGTTGGAGTCTCACTGTGTCACCAAGGCTGGAGTGCAATGGCATGCTCATGGCCACCCCAGCATCGGCCTGCTCAGCTCAGGCGATCCTTCTGCCTCAGCCTTCCAAGTAGATGGCACTAGGCATGTGCTACCATGCCCGGCTAATTTTTTTATTTATTGTAGAGACGAGGTCTCACCATGTTGCTCAGGCTGGTCTCAAACCCACAGGTTCAGGCAATCCTCTCGCCTCGGCCTCCCAAAGTGCTGGGATTACAGGCTTGAGCCATGGCACTTGGAGTCTTACTCTGTCGCCCAAGGATGGAGTGCAGTGGCACACTCAACCTGCTGGGCTCAGGCGATCCTTCCGCCTCAGCCTCCCAAGTAGCTGGGACTACAGATACACACCAACGTGCCCAGCCGATTTTTTGATTTTTTGTAGAGATGAGTTTCACCATGTTGCTCAGGCTGGTCTCAAACTCCTGGGCTCAGGCAATCCTCCTGCCTCAGCCTCCCTAAGTACTGGGATTACACGCCTGGCTAAGAATGTTTTAAAGAAATATTTAATCATATGGAAAATGACATGTATATGTATGTATACATACACACTTATATACATACATATGTTTTATTTTAAGGAAAAAGAATGGGTAGAAACACACCAAAAGGTGAGTATCTTTGGGTGATAGATTTATGGGTGATTTTCATGCTTTTTCCCCCAAAATTTTTCCAGTGAACAAATTTAATAAAATTTGATCAAATCAAAACCTTATCCTTTTTTAATGTTAGTATGAACATTAAAACAACAATAATAGACCACCAGTACTGTATGAGGGTGTCCAACAGAATTTTCTATAATGATGGTAGTGTTCTATAATCTGTCGTGTTTAAGACGATAGCCACTTATCATGTTACTGAGCACTGAAAATGTGGTTAGAGTATCTGGGTGACTAATTTTTCTTTTGTAAATTGTTATTCAATATCAATTAATTTAAAATTAAATTTGAATAGCCCTGTGCAACTTGTGTTGCCCTGTGGGGTGATGCAGCTGTGGACACAATGCTGGGTTAGCAGTGAAGTGCCCGCTGTCTGTCTGCTGGTGCTTTCCATTTCCATTCACTCCCTGTGAGTTCACGTGTGAGTGGAACACGAGGAGCTGGGTCACTGAGGCAACACTTCCGTCCTCTCTGTGAACTCTGACCCAGGAAGATGAAGTCCCTTTCCCAGTGTAGTCACTTAGCATGAACCAGCTGCATACGGGATATTCCTCAGACTGGCTTTCTCCTGGAGTGAGTCTACCTGCCGGGGCACATGGCAGTGCTGTAGCTCTCACCTGCTTGGCCTAGTGCTGCCTGGGACAGGCCGGGTGAGTCCCTATCATTCTACTCAGCCTTCGTTGTAATGAGAACGGTGTATTGTCCTCCCTCCGCTGTTTCTTTTTCTTCATGTTATTTAGACCTCGGTCTGGGAAGAGGGGCCATGGTGGGGCGTGCTGAGATATCCCAACAGAATAACAAATGACTAGCAGTTTTCCTTTACTGCATTGTTCGATTCTGCCGTCAGTGAATGGTTTGTTTTTGTTCAATAGGTACCCCCAAATTACCCATTATCGAAAACACACAGTTCATCAAGCGATCTGAGCGTGAAAGCTTGCACTTCGTTAGTTTTAAATTCGGACGACTGCCTGGAGAACTTCCCAGAGCCCTCCTCTCCCACAATTTCCTCCTATGAGAATCTGCTCAGTACACCGCCGCCTCCAGAAATCACTACAATTCCAGAAGATCTTCTGCAGGTTATTTTTGCAGGCAGTTTTACTTTTTTCTGATAACTCTTCAAAATTAGACATTTATGTTATCTCATATTTATCAGGCTACTGTGTTCAGTTTAATTTTGAGAACATTTAAATTCTAGGCTGTTAGGCCCATCTACGGCCACCTGACTGAGGCTTTTCTGAACTGAGCTTGTACATGCTGGTGACCTTGTACTTTTAGTGGGACTCCCCTTTGTGGGCATTTTCTCTTTAACTTCATGTTCTCAGTCAGTGTCTTCTTCTTTTTTCTTTTTTTTTTGAGTCGGAGTCTCACTCTTTCATGCAGGCTGGAGTGCAATGGCACAATCATGGCCACCGTATCCTCAGCTTCATGGTCTCCGGCCACCCTTCCACCTCAGCCTTCCTTGTAGCTGGAACTACAAGCACATGCCACCACACATGGCTAATTTTTTGATTTATTGTAGAGTTGAGGTCTCACCATGTTGCTCAGGCTGGTCTCAAAACCCTGAGCTCAAGAAATCCTTTTGCCTCTACCTACCAAAGTACTAGGATTATAGGCGTGAGCCACCACACCTGGCAGATTCTTACATTTCCTTCCTTCCTTCCTTCCTTCCTTCCTTCCTTCCTTCCTTCCTTCCTTCCTTTCCTTCTTTCTTTCTTTCTTTCATTTACTTTGAGTTGGAGTCTCACTCTGACACCTGTGCTAGAGGGCAATGGCCTGCTCATGGTCACCTCAGTCTCAACCTGCTGGGCTCAGGTAATCCTTCCACCTCAGCCTTCCAATTAGCTAGAACAACAGGCATGTGCTACCATGCCCGGCAATTTTTTTGATAGAGACAAGGACTTGCCAAGTTGCTCAGGCTGGTCTCAAACCCCTAGGCTCAAGCAATCCTCTCACCTTGGCCTCCCAAAGTACTGGAATTACAGGCTTGAGCCACCATGCCTGGCCAGATGCTTATTTTCTAATCCTTGTTAGAAACTATTGTTGCCATGTTGATCAGGGTTCCATTAGAAGTGTTGCTGGCAAAGTCAGAAATGTCATTTACCCCAGTTTTCCAGAAAAGGGTATCATAAGTAACTTACATCAGTGTATCCTGAACTTGAAACTTTGTGGACCTCAGTTAAGAAGCACTGATTGATGTATTTTGAAATCCAGTCATGTGGCCAGGCTTGGTGGCTCAACCTCTAATCCCTGTACTGTGGGAGGCCGAGGCAAGTGGATTACCTGAGCCCGCGGGCTCGAGACCTGCCTGGGCAACTTGGCAAAGCCTTGTCTCTGCAATAAGTTAAAAATTAGCCAGGCGTGGTAGTACGCACCTGTAGTTCCGGCTACTTGGAAGGCTGAGGCAGGTGGATCGCCTGAGCTCAGCAGGTCGAGGCTGTGGTGGTCAGGAGCGTGCCACTGCACTCCAGTCTGGGCTACAGAGTGAGGCTCCAACTCAAAAAAAAAAAAAAAAAAAGAAAGAAAGAAATACAGTCATGTGGTGTATAACAACATTTCAGTCAGCAACAGACTGCATATGTGACAGTGGTCCCTTAAGGTCGTCATATTGAATGTTTTCTTTACCTTTTCTCTGTTTAGATATACAAATTCTTACCATTGGGTAGCAATTGCCTACTGTATTCAGTAGGGCCACATGCTGTGCACGTATGTAGCCTAAGAGCAGTAGACTGTCCCGTGTAGTCTAGGCAGGTAGTAGGCTAAGCCATGTGGTGTCTGCACGTGACAGAGCTGCCTGACAAAACATTTCTCACTGAGCTTCCCCCGGCTCAGTGACACACAAGCGTATCTGATTCTCTAGGGTAGTGTAACACCAGTCACTATTAGTCTGCTGCTCATGTGTAACAACAGCCAACTCTAAGTAGCCAGTCTCATTCTTTGACTCTCCCCCTCAGTAGATGTTCTAGTGTTTGGCAGTTATGAATTAAGCACACGGAATCCTTAATAACCATTCCAGAAGTTTTCCAATGTTAGGAAGAGCCATGAGAAGGATAAGCCACTTGGGAAAATACCCAGATGCCATCAGAAGTCCCTCATTTTAGGATATCAGCAGTGTCGAATATCCTTCTTTCTCTGTCTTTTCTGCTTTCCTAGGAGATGTAAGAAATTGGGTGAGAAAGAGGCGTCTTCTGTCTTTATGGGAATTAGATAGTTTCTACTTCCCCGTGATTGATGCTTCTCTCCTTATTTCTATGTGAAAGAAAGGAAATTTTATGACCTCCTGAGCTCAGGTGATCCTTCCATCTCAGTCTCCCGAGTAGCTGGGGCCACAAGTGTGAAACCACACCCAACTAATTTTTAAAATTTTTTTTTGGTAGAGAAGAGGTTCCACTATGTTGCCCAGGCTAGTCTCCAACTCCTGGGCTTAAGTGACCTTCCCACCTCGACCTCCCAAAGTGCTGGGATTTCAGGCGTGGGCTGCCACGCCTGACCAATATATCGCTTTGTTTTTGTTTTTTTTTTGAGTCATGGTCTCATTCTGTCGCCCAGGCTGGAGTGCAGTGGCACACTCATGGCCACTGCAGTCTAAACCAGCTCAGGCAATCCTTTAACTTCAGCCTTCCAAGTAGCTGGAACTACAGGCATGCACCATCACGCCAAATTTTCTTGATTTATTGTAAAGGTGAGGTCTTACCAAGTTGCCCAGGCTGGTCTCAAACCCCTGGGCTCAGGCAATCCTCTCATCTCAGCCTCCCAAAGTGCTGGGATTATAGGCGTGAGCCACTGTGCCCGGCCTTATATCACCTCTCTATGTGTGAAAAAACATTGTTCTCAGATTCTCCTTTCTACAATTGAGAATCTTACTTTTGAACATACTTTCAGATCTTTCCTATATATATTTTCCCTAACGTCTTTATAAAAGCTTAATTTGCTCTTCTTGATACTATATTGCTACTTCTAACGTCAATAAGAATGCATTTAGGCTTTAAAAAGCAATTTTTCGGCCGGGCTCGGTAGCTCAGCCTGTAATCCCAGCACTTTGGGAGGCCGAGGTGAGCAGATTGCCTGAGTCCGCGGGTTCGAGACCCGCCTGGGCAACTTGACGAGACCTCATCTCTACAATAAATCAAAAATTAGCCGGGCGTGGTAGCGCGCACCTGTAGTTCCAGCTACTTGGAAGGCTGAGGCGGAAGGATCGCCAGAGCCCAGCAGATCGAGACTGCAGTGGCTGGGAGTAACCACTGCACTCCAGTCTGGGCGACAGAGTGAGACTCCAACTCAAAAAAAAAAAAGCAATTTTTCTTGCCAGGTACAGTGTCTCATGTCTATAATCTCAACATTTTGGGAGGCAGAGGTGAGAGGACTGCCTGAGCTCAGGGATTTGAGAGCATCCTGGGCAGCATAGTGAGACTTCATCTGCAGTAAATCAAAAACTTAGCTGGGTGTGGTGGCACATGCCTATAGGCCCAGCTACCCGGAGGCTGAGGCAGAAGGATCACCTGAGCCCAGCAGGTCAAGGTTGCAGTAGCCTGTGACTGTGCCACTGCACTTCAGCCTGGGTGACAGAATGAGACTCTGATTTTAAAAAAAAAAAAAAAAAAAAGCAGTCCTTCCATCTAAGATAAATGTCTAATATCACTCTTTTCATTTCTGTTGAATGTCTGTGTTTAAGAAAATTTTTTAGTGTTTTAAATAACCCATATTGAAATTTTCCATGGTTTTTCTTGATGTTTTCACTTTCCAAATTTAGGTTATGTTGTTCATGTGACTTAATGAAAAGGAATCTGCTTTTTGTTTTAGATTTTATCAAAATACAACTCAAACCTAGCTGCTCCAGTAGCAGTTAAAGCAGTGCCACCCAGCAAAGGGCTTCTTAAACGGGGACAGAACATCCGAGGTGTTGGCAACAAAGAGAACTGGTGAGTACGTTACCACTATAAGGGAAGCTTGTCTGTTACTTGAGGGGAACGCTTAACAATTAGCATTTAATGGTGGTAAAAATGTTGTTTTTAATTGACATTTGCCAGCTTAGGTTAGCAGCCTTTTAGTAGAGAAACTGTGACCTAAGTCTTAGACTCCAACTTGCCACGTTTGATGAGGCAATCTGGTCTCAACCATTTCATAAGTGTAAATGACACAGTCACAGTGCTATTAATGGCTTGGCTGATGGCTTTCCCTTACTTGCCCTCATGTGTTCATCTGTTGCAGAAGTCCTGGCAGACCATCCATCAGACACGAGCGGAATGAGATGGCAGCAGAGCTGGGCTCGTCTGTTACATCCCCCTCACCTCCTTCCTCCTGACGCTGACGTCATTACATGCTTTCTATGACATTTTTCTCTGGTTTCATTCCCATCTTATTGGCATGTAGTCCAGTCATTTACTTTTAAAGTATTCTTATTGGTTCATTGATAGTAAAGTACCCTGCTTAATCTAGCACAATGGTTTAAGTAGTATAAGAAAGTAAGGTAAAGAATTTTGTTGTTGTTGGAGTCCCACTCTGTTGCCCAGCCTGGAATGCAATGGCACGATCGTGGCTGACCGAAGCCTTGACCTCCTGGGTTCAGGCAGTCTTCCCACCTCAGCCTCCCAAGTAGCTGGGATTACAGGTGCCACCACACCAGGCTAATTTTTTAATTTTTTTGTGGAGACGAGGTCTTGCTGTATTGCCTTGCTAAAGACAAACAATTTTTAAAATATAATTGCCTATAATCACAGCACTTTGGGAGGCCAAGTTGGGGGGATTGCTTGAGCCCAGGAACTCATATTGGCCTGGGCAACATAGCAAGACCTCATTTCTACAAAAATAAAAAATTAGCTGGGCATGGTGGTGCACACCTGTAGTCCCAGCTACTCAGGAGGCTGTGGTGGAAGGATCACTTCAGCCTGGGAGGTCGAGGCTGCGGTGAGCTGCAACTGTGCCACTGCACTCCAGTCTAGGTGACACAGTGAGACCTTAATTCAAGACAAAACAAAAAAATGTACCTGCTACCTTTTGCTACTTAGCTGAGGCCATGCCTGACCTCATCCTGGCCAGGGGGCTTTGCTGCCGGCTGGCTCTGCCTCGCCATGGTCTCCTTTCAGGACTGTCCCTGAGTCTTCACACTTTTTATTTCATCGGTGCCCTTTTAAGACTCTTGCTGTTTGCATACGACAGAAGCATGGCTTAAACTAGGGATCGGGGGAATGGACAAGTCTGGGCAGCCACACGGTGGCTATGGGGGTGGGCAGAGGCCTCAGACATTGGGGCAGGGACTCGTGGCTCTCGCACTGTTTCCTTCTCTTCCAGCTTGCCCCTGCCCGCTTCATTTTCTCATGTCAGCTCATTGTACTCGTGGCAGCTGACGCTCAAGCTCTGCCCTCAGCCTGGCCACCCTGGAGAGCCGAAGCCTCCCTCTAGAAGGTTCGACAGCCTGTCTTGGGCCGAACCTCCTGTGGATGGTCAGCTATGGCCACAGCAGCCACAAGAGCCCCCTGGTGACTTGACTGCCCTGGCCACTGAGCCCAAGATCCTCTTGGATCCACGTACTACTGGAAAGGGAGAACTTGTCCGATTACATCCAGTGGCACAGTGAGGACCGGGTCCACTGCGGAGACCAGTCAGACACTTGAGAAGCTGCAGCCGGCAAGCATGATGGAGGGCTTCAGAGGCTCAGTTGTGGGAATGTGATACTGTCAAGGCTCTTCCCCTGAGTTGTGCCCTTGTGTTCCGTTCATCTTGTCAGAACATCGTCACCGAAGTTGGCTGAGTCCTTGTTCTAGGAATGACTGTGTAGTTGTAAGTGTAGTTTATAAATAGAATGTAAAATTACTTTTAACATTAGCTTTGTCTTTCAGAGTGAAGCTCTAGTCAGCCTCCCACACACCAAGGCTGCACTACCTACCTGCCTCTCGCCATGTACCGTGTGTGTGCGTGTGTGTGTGAGAAAGAGAGAGGGAGGATCCACAGAGCTGGGCGCACCTGCTGAAGGGAGTGGGGCACGCCCAGCGTGTCACCAGGGCTCAACCTGGAGTTCCCAGCTCGAGGGAAAGAGGCAGAGGAATCCAGCAAGGGGGATGGAGAGGAGGCCAGGGAAGGACCAAGAACGTCTGTCAAGGAGAATCTGGTTCTGTTCCTGTTGCTGGGAGTTCAGGTGAAGAGGACTCAGCAGTGACGGCTGCATTTGGCAAAGTCGGCAACATTGGTGACAGATAACTTTCGAGGACTGAAGAGAAGATGGCGAGGAGGCGGGCGAGAGAAGGGCGGCAGCCGGAGGAGCACAGAGGACGAGGCTGGCAGCTGCAGGGGGGCCATCTGCTTCGGGACAGCCCTGCGGGCTCAGTTCGTCCAGAATTCTTCCTCCCCAGCCCTTTCCCTCCTTCTGTGTCCTCACTCCTGCGTTTTAAAACTGATTCTTCCAGCTTATGAAGCTCCAAACATTGGGGTCTTTCAAGCGTGTCTTCCCACTGCTCTCAAGACGAAACCCAGGATCTGCAGGGTGGCCTCCAAGGCCCCCCAATGCTGAGCCCCAGCTTGTTCTCCAGCCGCGTGCCTCCAGCCGCCCCACCCTCCCATGCCTCCGAGCCTCCCGCCGGGGCCCCCCAGGCTGCTCTGGTCTGCAGCACTTGTCCCTGCCCACGGTGCGTCGCCGGCACGCCCTCTCCCCCTTCAGAGGTGGACACCTGACATCCTGCCTGCTCCGACCACTGCCTGAGCCATGCAGGCCAGCTCCAGGCTTACCAAGCAGCATCACAACTCGCCACCACACTGGTGGGTGCCAGGCATGTAACGCAAGGTGAGTCAGAGCCAGTGCCGAGACCACCATGGGCTAGTGTTGCAAGGGAGCACCCTTCTTTTCCAGAGATGCAGAAGTACTCCTGGAGCTGGGGGTCTGCCTGCCGTGAAAGGAAAGCCGGCCTGAGTAGAGCCCCCGCAGAGGAGCTCTGGCGTGGGAGCACAGTGGCCAGCCGGCCTCCACTGTGGTCCAGGAGCCCCTGTGCATGAGCTGGGAGCTTTCTGTCGTTCAGACTTCGGGTCCTGGCTGACATGTCTCAGGTCTTGGGCTAAGTGTCACTTTATCAAACTTCATCCTCCTCCTTCATTCCTTCCGAACACCCTGTTCTCATCCTTCATAGGACTTGGCAGGGTTTATAATCAAAGACTTCATGTTCATCTCCCACAGGGCGGCGGCCACTCTGAGGGCAAGGACCTCATCTGCTTGCTTTGTCCATGGCCCTGGTTCTAGGCAAGTTAAAATGTTCACTGGCCAGGCTCGGTGGCTCAGCCTGTAATCCCGCGCCTTGGGAGGCTGAGGTGAGTGGATTGCCTGAGCCTGTGGGTTCGAGACCTGCCTGGGCAACTTGGCGAGACCTCATCTCTACAATCAATCAGAAAATCAGCCGGGCATGGTAGCGCATGCCTGTAGTTCTGGCTACTCAGAAGGCTGAGGCGGAAGGATCGCTGGAGCCCAGCGGGTTGAGGTTGTGGTGGCCTGGAGTGGCCACTGCACTCCAGTCTGGGCAACAGAGTGAGACTCCAACTCAAAAAAACCCCCAAAAATAGTAAAAATAATAAAATGTTCACTGAATGAATTAGCGGTATCTTCAAACAACTGAGGTCTTTCTTTGCCAGGCCTGGTTCTCAGTGCTTCACATCTATTATTAATTTAACCCTCTGAGGCAGCCCCTCATTTCTCAGATGAGGAGGTGAAGCTTCAGTGATTGACTTTCTTGTGTTCCATTTCCTACAACCTCATGTTCTGTGGATGACAAGCTCTCCTGGATCTCCTGTCATCTCCTCCCTCCCCTCCCGCCTCTGCCACTGCCCTGATTCTCACCTGGATGGTTCATAGTGCCTGACGCTTATCAGAAGTCAACACCTGGGCTGTGTGAGTTCTTGTGTGTGTGTGTGTGAGTGTGTGTGAGAGAGAGATAGAGCTTATTATGCCTTCTGTTCATGCTGTGCCCTTCCAAGTGCTGCTGCTACTCCTGTCTTTTTTTTAATTTTTTTTTTTTGAGTTGGAGCCTCACTCTGTCGCCCAGGCTGGAGTGCAGTGGCATGCTCACGGCCACTGCAGCCTCAACCTGCTAGGTTCAGGTGATCCTTCCACCTCAGCCTTCCAAGTAGTTGGGACCACAGGTGTGCACCACCATGCCTGGCTAATTTTTTGATTTATTGTAGAGGTCTCGCCAAGTTGCTCAGTCTGGTCTTGCACCCCGGGCTCAGTCAATCCTCTTGCCTGCACCTCCCAGTGTTGGAATGATCGGCGAGAGCCACCGCACCCACTCTCCCTCCTGTCTTAGGATGTGAACAAGTATCAGCACTGTCTCCGGAGGAGCTCTCGTTGGTCTTCTGCGTAGCAGTGTTCTCTCCGGGGTGGTTTCTCTCCTTCCTTGGCACCCCCTGCCCACCTTTTTGTCAGCATCTTCACTTCCTTTCCTCCTCACCGGACTTTCCCAGGGAGATTCTGTATCATCAGCCCAGTCTCCATGTCTTGGCACACGGCCCCTGGTATGGAAGACACCCACCCATCCCAAGCCCCCTGCTCCCAGCATCCTGGAAGTGTGAGGGAGTCGATCTGGAACACTGTGGACTGCCAGTTACCAATCCTGACTGTCCTAGGGTTTTCACACATCCTGAAGAGCCCTCAGGAGGGTCACTTCCTTCTTAATTGCTCGAATCCACCAAATCCCATCTGGGACTTTCTTTGGAGTTGGTGAGAACTGGACTGGTATGCTGGCCTGGGTAGCACAGAAACTTCCCAGCAGCCAAAGGCACAAAGGAAAGGGCTAGAAATGACTTTCCTCGTCCAGCATTTACTGAGCATTCCTTGTTCACCAGGCTGTCCCCAGCACTGTTCCATGGGCTCTTCCCAAGTCTTGGGAGATAGGGATGTCATTACAGCACCTTTCTACAGTCAAGTCCACATGACATTCCCAGGCTGAGAATTTGTGCTTACTAAACTACATTCTAGTATTTATATTGCTCTTAGGTTTTAGATTATATTCTCCTAGAGATTTCTTATTGGGGGGAAATCCATGCCTAGTCAAGCAAGACTGTTCCCCTGCAGACACAGCTGTTGGCAGAAGCAACCCAATCTGAGCAGAAAACCAACCAGAACCAGCTGGCCTCATCTGGCTGCTCCTGTCACATCCAAAGTGGAAACCATGACTGTCATTTTTTTCAAACATAGGTGTTTTGGTTTGTATAAAAACTGAGTAAGGAGGTCCACTTAAGATGACAATCTTAGTCGGGCTCGGTGGCTCGGCTCAGCCTGTAATCCCACGCTTTGGGAGGCTGAGGTGAGTGGAATGCCTGAGCCCGCAGGTTTAAGACCCGCCTGGGCAACTTGGCGAGACCTCATCTCCACAATAAATCAAAATGAGCTGGGCGTGGTAGCGTGTGCCTGTAGTTCCAGCTGCTTGGAAGGCTGAGGCGGGAGGCTCGCCGGAGCCCAGCAGGTCGAGGCTGCGGGGGCCGGGGGCGGCCCCTGCCCTCCAGTCTGGGTGACAGAGTGAGACTCCAACTCAAAAAAAAAAAAAAAAGATGACAATCTTGGCAGAAAGTTTGAAACTGCAGGGGAGGTCAGTACAAAAACAGTGTGTCAGCGTAGTGTGGGTGAAGCCAGGCAGTAATGAATTGAGGACAAAAGCAGCAAAGTATAGAAGAACACTTTCTGAAAATGTTTCAGCTCACCCTCTATTTTTGGCTCCCTATGTCCAATGCCCCACTTTTGAGCCGTTATTCTAAGTAGCCTCAATTCAGGCTGAACTCGTAGCCAATGTGGGTCCCATTTTCACCTATAAATGGAAACTGCCGTCCTGTACCACAGTTGTGGTCAAAGTCGTTCCTCCGCGCAGTTCCGCTGCTCCTGGACTCAATGGGGTCATGTCCACATAAACCCATCGTGAGTTGAAAATCTAAGTCAAAGTGCACTCTACTTAGGAGAGAGCCTGTTTTTGATGGGTTTATCCGGACACCGCCCCCTCATAAGCCAAGGAGCACACCCAATGCATATTGCTTTGGTGCCGTGGCCAAGTTAGAAAATGGAAAGCCATGTATGTGGAGGGTGGGAGAACATATAACAAAGGTTGCCTGGTCCTAAACCAGGGGAAGTGAGGACCACTTGGAGGACCAAACGTCACCTGCACGTAGATGATGTATGTACCTAATCCTGACTTGGACCCCACATCTCCATAATAGTCATTAGAAGGGAAAGTCAACCCATCACAAGTTGGAAATCACCTGTGTTTGGCACAGCCAAGCAATTAAATCGTCATGGTAAGCTTGGTTTTGGTGTTGCCTTGTTTCACAAAACAAATTTGGAATGTGTGCTTGATTGAACACAAAGAGGTAGACCGAGTTCAGCTCTTTATTTAATAGCAGTTGAACAGTTCTTTCCGCCCCCATTCATACCTGCCCCCCACATGCACACGTGTGTACATGCACACAACAGGCATTCAGACGCGAGTATGGGCATCACCATCCCAGATGCTGCAAGGTTTGAAGACTACAGGCAGCATCACGTACTATAACCCACATTACAGGAACAAATGTCAACTCCAGTCTGCCTATGAACAAGCAAAGCATCAGGGTAGCACGAAAGCACAGAGCGGCATGGTGACCGTTTATGAGGAAACAGTTCAGTTACTACTCAAAGCCAAAGGCGAACATGGGCCAGGTAAAGACTTATGATTCTCAGCAGTCTACTCAGCAATACATGCATACTCACTCTCCAACTACTTTTAGTGGAAGGCTGAAATCTTTAAAGGAAAAATTCCATGTTGGAACCAAGCATTGGGTGGAATTTGGCAAACCAGCCAACCCACATTAAATCTGGGAGAATAACTTGGAATTCATGGGAGCCTGTGTGAGATTCATACCTTATGGGAAAACGGCTTACTATGTCATGTAGTTCCCACTCTCTTGATGTGCATAGTAATTGACAACTTTATCCCACAGATGAGAAGGCAATCATGGCTGTTCTCTACAAAGTTAGGCTTCATGGCATCTAAAACACCAGTCTATCAGTCTGAATCAACAAACAGTCTCAGGGTTTGGTGTAAGCCCACAAGAGAAGAGGCACCAGACCTCAGCTCTGGGTTGATCTCTGCCACTGCTGACCGACTGCAGCACAGACACCAAGCCCACAGGGTCCTTGGGAGTGGAAGTGGCTGCTTTCATAGGGACCAGATAATGTAGGTCTGCTGATGCTAGTATGTATCTTTTTCATTTGGGGATGTACGTTTTCAGCGTGCTGTATAACAGACACTAAGGTAGCTAGGCTTCATACACACTGCCATGCTCTTTTTAAACTTCAAAATGAGATCATGCAGTGGAAGACGGCTCCAGTGTGGACTGAACTCTACTTCATGGCCAATAGCCAGGATTTACCGTTTGTTAGGCACTAGTCTAAGCTCTTCACAAATATTTAATCCTCACAGTCCTGCAGGCCATTCTCTCCATTTTACAAAACAAAGACTTGCTTCAAGTAACTCCAAGGTTACACAGCTACTGGTGCAGTCAGGACTGACATCCTTTGCCCCAGGGGTCTTGACCACTGTACTGGAGAGATCACGCCAATCCCAGGGCCTGGGGATGTGTGCATGCCTCCTGCTTAGGCCACTGACCTCGCCCAGTCTCCTCCCTGGGCCCTAGAGGCCCCTCTCACCCCTCCCCCCACTTTCAGGTCTTCAGGATAAACCTCCCACCTCAGCCTTAAGTCCTAACCAATGTTTCCCCTGCACTGGTTCCTGCCTTTAAAATGTCCCATTCTAGGCCTGGCACGGTCGTTCACGTCTGTCATCCCAGCACTTTGGGAGGCCGAGGTGAAAGGACTGCCTGGGCAACTTGGTGAGACCCCATCTCTACAATAAATCAAATTAGCTAGACATGGTGGCGCGTGCCTGTAGTTACAGCTACTTGAAAGGCTGAAGCAGAAGGATCGCCTGAGCCCTACAGGTCAAGGCTGTAGTGGCCATGAGTGTGCCACTGCATTCCAGCGTGAGCTACAGAGTGAGACTCTAACGCAAATAAATAATAACATGCCCTATTCTGCACATTTTCAAAACACTCCTGTTATGATCTCTCATGTCACGGCAGCGTGAGTGCGGTGGGCCAGTCTCCCAGCTCGCACTGTCCTACATGCCCATGTTGCTGTCACCATGTTCTCGTAGGTCCCTTCTGCAGCTGCACAGCAAGAGCCCACACAGCACACTCAGGTCCACCTCGTACAACCCCCAGGCTTTCCTGTTCTGCCCTTGGGGCTTAAACATACCCGCCACCATGTGGTAAGCCCCACAGGTGGGTGCACTCCCTGTTCCCACGCATCCACTGACTTCCACACACAAGCTGATGACACACATGTATTTAACAATATGGTTGCACACAGAATGCTAAGAGCACTTTTCTTCATATTTTACAGAAGGACTTGAACGTACAGACTTTCTATTAGTGATCACAGCACATCCAAAGCTAGCGTCTAAGTAGATGCATTATAATTTGCTTAGAATTTAAAGGCTTAATGGCAATAATGGGGGCAGGAGAGTACATACGTTTATTTTACATAACTCACCGAAAAATAAATTTAAGAACTAGTAAATAGAATCTAATATGGTCTCATGCGCCCCGAGGTGGGTGGTGCCCGGTTTGGAGGGGTGATCGCTATGTCCAAATAATCTCCTATCTGAAACTTCTGCGACTGCAGGGTCATGGAGTCATCAGTCCCCTTTCTGCCAGACATGGTGCTGCCGATCTCCTTAACTCTGCAGAGAAGAAAACCAATCGTCAGGGGCCACAGATCAATCAGAGAACCCTAACCCGTGCTACAGCGGGAGTGCAGACGGGTGTGTTCCAGTACCGTCTAACCTGGCTCCAAAACCTACGTTCGTGTTACATTCAGCCGGATACTGAGAGAATAAAACCCACACCCCCCACTAACACGATTCAGTAACGGGCGACCTCCTGTCAGTTAAGAGCAAAAGATCACAGGAATTAAAATGAAAAGTCACCTACCGGTAGCCAGGTCTTTTAACATCAGTGAAAACGATGGCAAAATTGAAGTGTGTGCCCTTCTTTCTAGCTTCTGGGTAGACTTCTTTCACTAAACTAGTCAGTTCTTTCAAGGTTGCATCCATCCTGAATATTTAAAAAAGACATTTACATTTGATTAATCGGCAACAAGATAACGAGGATACTGACAATAAGCTAATTATCTGGGTTGTGACTTATGTTAGAAACTTTGAGAATTACCAGGTATGGTGGCTCATGCTTGTAATCCCAGCACTGTGGGAGGTCAAGGAGGAAGGATCCACTTGCGGCCAGAGTTCAAGGCCAGCTTGAGCAACATAGTGAGACCCTGTCTCTATTTTTTAAAAAAGAAAAAAGAAGGAAACTGCCATGGTCATATACTAGAGTTTAATTCTAAATCAGCTAAAAATACCATCTGCCTCCAAAAATTCCCTGTACTGGTCTCACTATTGGAAATGTTGTCGAATTAAAGTCAGACTTTTAGTGCTAATGCTGTCTTCTGTTGCTAGGAAACATTACCTCCTCTCTGGGAGTAACTAAGTCCAAGTTAGTTCTAATATGCAACATAACTGTATTTCATTATGTCTAAGACTCATACTCTTCCATAGTTTAGCTGCTCTAAAATTGAAATGCCCTCAGAATCAATGCGATAGGAAAAAAATTCTCCTAAGGATGTGCAGTATTTCTTCTTTCTTAGATGTAATCAAGTTTTACAATAGATGGAGTCCTAGAGCCAATGAAATATACACAATTTTCTTTTTAAATATTTGTTGAGTCGGAGTCTCACTGTCACCCAGGCTGGAGTGCAGACGCACACTCATCACAGCCATCACAGCCTCGACCTGCTGGGCTCAGGTGATCCTTCACCTCAGCCTTCCAAGTACCTGGAACCACAGGCGCACACCACCACGCCCAGCTAATTTTTTGATTCATTGTAGAGATAAGGTCTTGCCATGTTTCCCAGACTGGTCTTGAACTTCTGGGTTTAGGCAATCCTCTCACCTTGGCCTCCTAAAGTGCTGGGATGATAGGCGTGAGCCTGCACTCCCAGCTAAAATATACAAAATTTTCTTAAGAGAAAACACAGGTTCCTCTCATATCATAGATTCTTACCCTGCAAATACTGATTTGAACAAAACATAGTCTCCTGAGCTAATAAGGCACAATCTGGAAACATCTTTTAAAATATAACATCTTAGGAAAAATAACCTAGTAAAAGTTTTTATACTGTTTTATTTATGTATTTATTTTTCTTTGAGTTGGAGTCTCACTCTGTTGTCCAGGCTGGAGTGCAGTGTCTGCTCCCGGCCACTGCAGACCTCCGCCTCAGCCTGCCGAGTAGCTGGAACTACAGGTGCACGCTACCATGCCCAGCTAATTTTTGATTTATTGTAGCGAGGAGGTCTTGCCAAGTTGCCCAGGTGGGTCTCGAACCCGCAGGCTCAGGCAATCCACTCACCTCGGCCTCCCAAAGCTCTGGGATTACAGGCTGAGCCACCGAGCCCAGTTTTTCCATGACAACTAGGAAAACAAAATGGATGGTTTGGTGCCTGAAACAGCAGCACGACCTGTAGAGCACTGTGAAATGGCACAAGCATGTCAGGCACTCATGAAGAAGAAGGACTCTGAGGCACAGCAGGGGCTGGTCACCAGGGAGCTGGGAGTCGTAGCTCTGCCACTGTTCACCAGTCCATACACCACATCCAAAGTAAAGCGACAGCTGCAACTGCACCATGGGTGGAAACACCCAGGATGGCCGCATCGTCTCCTGCTGTCTGCAGCTACCAGGTCTTTCCCTGTCCCCCTAAGAGTCAGCGGAGTCCTCATGGTGTGCCCTTCCTCTCACACCCCATCAATAACACCCTCACCCACTTGGCCACCAGGCCACAGCCCTAAGCATGCTCAGCACCTTCCGCCTCCAGCCCGCGACAGTCATGCTGCTTCGCCCTCCTACACACACAGCAGAACTGCTTTTCCTTCCATCCCCATCACTCATGCTTTATTCCACCACTCATTATTTAAACCTCTAAATGTGCCTTCATCTCATCTCCATCTTGGTTTTTAAGTTTCTGTTTTTGTAGAAAACTGTGTCAAGCAAATGGCACCTGTTGCTGCCTCCAGCGGAGGATTCCAGGGATGAAATCCTGCTGTGTGGAAGACAGGGAAGAGCTCAACGGTGTCTACCGCCAGACTGTCAAGCCACTGCACAACCTGCAGGTGTCGAGTCACTCCAGCATGGCTGGAAGGATGCTGCGCTCACCCAGGAGAGACAGCAAGATCCCCTTCAACAGTGAGCTTCCACCCCTGGGCTGGTGGGCCTCGCCCTGCAGCCCTGCAGCCAACACACCGTCATGCTGCAGGCAAAGGACCCTATTCCTTCATTGCCAGGAACAGATACAGCAGGGGGCTTGGCCACATGCCATGGACTGACACACACACTTAAGCCCAGGTAGGAAGTTGTTCCCAGAGAGGGACCTAACACGGTGGGGAGGGCCCTGATCTCTGCAAGGAAATGTTTCAGACCCAAGGCCACTCTGTGCACCATGCAAGTCCCAGCATGATACGTGAACATTATTTATCTGTGAAAGCCACTCAAGTTTAGCAGTGAGGGGTTGCCTACCCATTCTAGTGACACTAACGTAAGTCATGAACTCCAGCCTTGCCTTCCCAAGAGCCGGCCCTATGGATATGGGTCCCCTGCTATCTCGCAAGCCAGTTCTCTCTCACCATTGGACCAGCTCATGCACGTTATTTAAAAGGGTGCCATGTGCATGAATGCAATAAACTATACTCAAATCTCACCCATGAGAAATGACCGGTGATGCTGGACATCACTGTGAGCATCTAATTTTGCACACAGAATGCAAAACTACAGGAAAACATTCTCAAGGCACAGGAATGTTACACATGCCGAGACTACAATAGAAAACATAATTCATGGCATAAAGATTATACATATTTTGATAAAAATTATTAAATTTAATTTTTATGTTGTGAAGAAAAAACAATTAAGAGAATTGTAAAACTTCAGATAAAGACTCACTGCCACCCTTCCTCCATCGTGTAGCTTATTATTATTATTTTTTTTATTAATCAATATTTTGTATTATGGATTTGTGGGGTTCAGTTAAGGGTTAGGTGTACATTACGTTTCATTCAGGCACCCTGTTGATAAGAGGTGTTTGTGTAGCTTATTTTTATGTCAGAGATTAAGTTCTCTCCTGCAACAATTCCCCCTGGTTATTTTAAATTTGTCCCCATCGAATGCCAATGCTGGCATAAACCTGAGGTCAGGCTGTTTTGTTAACCTGTCTTGGAAGTGATCCCCCCCGATATTCTGATGTTAATTATTCTGTGTCAATTACAGGTTGAGTATCCCTTATCTGAAATGTGACCAGAAGTGCTCTGGATTTTTTCCAGATTTTGGAATCTTTTCATATACGAGTATGTGATGAAGTATCTTGGGGATGGGACCCAAGTTTAAATACGAAATTCATATATACCTTATACATGTAGCAGGAAGGCAATTTTATATATTATTTTAAATAATTTGGCACACAACACAAAGTTTTTAAGTACTTACATGTGGAATTCTCCACTTGTGGCATCATCTCAGCACTCAAAAAATTTCAGCGTTTGGATGAGATGCTCAATCTACACTAATACACCATATATCCTTTTTTTTTTGAGTTGGAGTCTCACTCTTTGTCTCCCAGGTTGGAGTGCAGTGACACGCTCACGGCCACTGCAGCCTCAACCTGCTGGGCTTAGGCAATCCTTCCGCCTCAGCCTTCCAAGTAGCTGGAACTACAGACACACACCACCATGCCTTGCTAGTTTTTGTGATTTATTGTAGAGGCGAGGTCTCACCAAGTTGCCCAGGCTGGTCTCAAACCCCTGGGCTCAGGCAGTCCTCTCGCCTCCACCTCTCAAAGTGCTGGGATTACAGATGATAGTCACCGCACCCGGCCAACCATACATACTTATGATATATATATACACACCAGAAAGGAATTTCTCCTTTTTCTTTTTTTCTTGTAGAGAAGAGGTCTCACTATGTTGTCCAGGCTGATCTCGAACTCCTGGGCTCAAGCAACCCTCCCTCCCACCTCGGCCTCCCAAGGTACTGGGATTATCAGCGTGAGCCACTGCGTCTGGCCAGGACTTTCTCCTTTCTAAAAACTTTAGTATTCACTTCTGACAATGCAAGTCCTCCACACGCTTCCCACCTTCTAACAGCTGTCCTCTCAGACCAACTCCTGGAGGGCCAAGTGCTACTTTCTAACCACTGTCTGAAGCTTGAGGACATGGTGGGATTCAATATTGTGTCAACCTAGCCAAGCTACAGTTCCCAATTATTCAACCAAACTGACTCTGGTTGTTGCCGGAAGATATTCTGTAGACATGACTGAGGGCTATAACCCTTAACTTTAAATCAGAGAGACAGTCCCATATCACCTGGGAGGCCTGACTCATCAGCTGAAAGATCTCAAGAGCAGACTCAGCTGCCTGTAGGTGATACTTCAGCACACGGTCAAGAGCTCCAGCTTTGCCTTCCCGAGAGCCAGCCCTATGGTTGTGGGTCCCAAGCGCCGCACCAGCCCCTGCTATCACGCAGTTCTCCGCAACGACTCTCTTAACACATCTCCTGGCTGGTTCTTTCTGGTAGAACCCTGACAGACAGCAAGCGCCCTGGGTAACTCCTCCCATGACCTGCTGAGTGACCACCCAAGTCCAGGTATACACAATCCCCATGGCGGCTGGCTTGTTCCAACTCCACCTGCCTGACCGGACTCCTCTGGACATCACTCCTCCTGCCATGAATGACCTCAGGGCTGCTGGCTGCAACCCCCAGTCCAGATCTCCAACTTTCAGGATTTGTTGACCAAACTCCCCCCATAACCAGAGGTTAGGCAGGGCTCTATGCTGCCTGCACCAATCATCTATGTCTTCATTGGTCCCCACTTTGAGATCTAACTTAAGGCTATTCCTTCTTTGATTGCAATTTATAGACAGGATGGTTTAGGACAGGATTCTGAATACTTTTTTCTTGAATGGGGGTAGAAGATCCCTGGAACAACCACATCCTGCCGCCCCCTAGCCTGAAGTCTGACTTGGTATTTATTCATCTGCTTTCTCGACAGGATGACCACACTGCAAGGAGGCCCAGAACTGACTTTACACCCTCAGGACCTAAGCCAGCAACTGGCACATGAGGAGCTCTCATTTGCTGGAAGAAACAGATGCTTGAATCTCTGGCAAGAGGTTTTCCTCAAGCCATCAGTGAAGTTCTTCCTTGTAAATTAAACCCACCTTCCTGGAGCCGTGAGCGATGCTGAAGGAAAATGACCAACCACTATGTAACTGTAACAAGCACTTCCAAAACACAAAGTCCCAATCTGCAAGAGCTTGAGTCCTCATATACCAGGTTTACAATTTTAACGTCACATACCTTTTTGGGAATTTAAAAATCATACAGAGGCTGTGAAAAACTCTGGCAGTTCCTCAAAAAATTTAAATTGCCACACGATCGAGTAATCCACTCCTAGGTCTGTACCCACAAGAACCAGAAATATGTTTGCATGTCCATGTTCACAGCAGCAGCAGGTGGAACAAACCAAGCGTCCATCAAAGCTGAGCACACAGACAATGGAGCATCATTCAGTCTTGAAGAGGAAATTCTGATAGAGACTACAACACAGATGCGCCCTGAAAACACCGTACGAGGTGAGATAAGCCAGTCCCATGGCATTGCAAAGTCCACGTGTAGGGAAGGTCTTGAACAAGCAAATCCATAAGGACAGAAGGCAGATTAGAGGCTGCCAGGGGCTGGGGAAGGAGCAATGCTAAGTTACTGCTTCGAGGTAAAGGGTATCCCTGAAGGGTGCAGGGGCTGATGCCATGCATGGTGGCCTGTGCCTAGAGTCGCAGCTACTCAGGAGGCTGAGACAGGAGGATGGCCTGAGCACATAAGGTCCAATCCAGCCTAAGCACCACAGTAACATGCCATCTTAAAAGAAGGGGAAGCTTGGTGCAGGGGCTCAAGCCTGTAATCCCAGCACTTTGGGAAGCTGAGTCAAGATGACTGCCTGAGCTCAGGGGTTCGAGACCAGCCTGGGCAACTTGGTGAGACCTCATCTCTACAATAAAAATAATAAAAATAAGCCAGGTACGGTAGCATGCGCCTATAGTTCCAGCTACTTGGAAGGCTGAGGTGGAAGGATGGCCTGAGCCATGGTGTTGGGGTTCGTCTGGGTCATGAAGATCAGAAAGCACTGGTTAGGTTAACTTGTGTCTTATGGGTGGAGGCCAATACTTGAAATAGAAAAGCAAATTACTACAAAACAAGCTAGGGAGGGGGCTGTAAAACAATTATCAATAACTACCTCTTAGAAACCTCCCTCTGAGCCGCACTTTGGGAGGCTGAGGTGAGTGGATTGTCTGAGCCCGCGGGTTCGAGACCCGCCTGGGCAACTTGGCGAGACCTCATCTCTACA